GGAGAGCTGCACTGGATTCTCAGCATCAAGATCATGTATGACTATGACTCATACTCTGTTTCTCTTTCCTAATGCTCATACATTGATGCCATTGTTCATTGCTATAGCTTTGAAGACCTCAAACCAGTCTTTACACCAATAGATATTAATCTCCATTTGTCTTTCTTTCTTGCACTAGCCTCTATCTGAGAAATTGCAGCCATGAGAGATATCCCTTACAGGAAGTCTGTTGGCTCTTTGATCTGGGTTATGCTTGGGACATGCCCTGACATCACATTTGCCATGACAACAGTCTTGAAATATTCAATGGCTGCTGCAGAGGCCCATTGGAAGGCTGTAAAGCATATCTTTCACTATCTGAAGGGCATGAGAGATTACTGGCTGACATTTGGAGGAAATAGAAAGGTTTTGCATGGATATGTGGATGCTGATGGGAGAATAGCAGAGGATAGACATGCCATTACTGGGTATGCTTTTATGCTGAATGGTGGAGCTGTTTTATGGTCATCTAAAAAGCAGGAGATTGTCTTGCTTTCAACCACCAAGTCTGAATATGTGGCTGCAACACATGTATTGAAGAAGACACTCTGGCTTCACAGTCTGCTCTCTCAAGTTTTCTCACTGATTACTGATGCTACAACTTTATTCTCAGACAATCAGTCTGCTATTGCACTCTTGAAAGATCATCAGTATCATGCTCAAACCAAGTACATCAATATTCACTTCTATTTTATTCACTAGGTCATCAGTGAAGGCTCTCTTCATCTTGTTTATTGTCCCACTGAGGACATGGTTACTGATGCTCTCATCAAGCCTTTACCTTCAGCCAAAGTGAAGCACTTTGCTACTGAGCTTGGACTTTGCTCTGCTGGAGGGAGAGTGTTGGATTAGCAAGCAGGAGCTCTGTCATATCCTGCCAGCTGAGCTCAATACCTCTTTATGTCAGGATGAACTACAGTTGACTATCTCACAATGCATATGGTCAGGAGACACTAAAACTGTATGCATTTATAGATTTATGCAGAACCAAAATAGCACGTGATGTGACATGTGACTTTATATGACAACATTGTCATTTCCTCAAAATGCTGTCAGTGGCTTTTGGGTCAGCTTTCCATGCATCTCCTTGAATAATCCCCCTCTCAACTTCCTCAGCTGTGGTACTAATCCACCCTGGTCACCTTGTGAAACACAAAATGCCTCCAGCTTTTGAATAAGCTCAAATCCTTCTCTTGTAGTTATCAAGGTCTGTTCTTCCTCACCCTCCTCTTCCTCTTCTTCCTCCTCCTCATTGTCAATGACAGTTATTTCCCCATTTTCTACTGCAATATCATGCTTGACAGCAGCAACAATCTCCTCATCTGTTGGCATTGCCTCAAGATCTTCAGT